ACCAGCACCGCGCGCGGCGGCGTGACCAGCAGCAACAACAGCAGCAACAGCAGCAACAGCAGCAGCAGCAGGAGAGGCTAGTCACCACCAGGGTTCTGCTGAAGACAGACAGGGCCTCAGGCTTTCCAGAAGGCAGGTTGGACTCGGTGTCCCGCTTCAATGGGAGCACGGAGTCCCTGGACAGTCTGGACACCAGTGAGGCTGTGTCCCCCACAGTCAGTCAACTCAGTGCTGCGTTTGAAAGGGCAGCTGAGCTTAGGAACAACCTCCATCGCCTTTCCAATACCCCGCCACTCCCCTCCAGAGGGGTCAGCGCCAAGGTGGGTGTGTTGAACTCCAAAATCATTACAAAGAGAGTTAGTGCCTTTGCAGCAGGCAGCCAGGAGTTAGAGTCAAGATGTCAGAATGATCCAGAGGGACTGCCAAAGGGGCCTAAAGGTAGGGTCACTCCTCCATCGGAGCGCATTAACGGAGGACAAAGTGGTCCAACCACGGAACATCCCAGTGTTGTAGGTCAGCCAGGAGATGTGTCAGAAAAGACACGTTTGGAGGCAGATGCAGAGGCTCGAGGTGAGGGCAGACCTGACAAACACACTGAAGCCAAGGAACGAACCAGCTCAACACTGCAAGGTGACATCCACACCTCTGTGGAGAACGGAGAGGCTGCCGGCAGCTGTCAGCAGAGAGACCGTGTTCTCGGACAGGATGGAGAGACCACCAGTGTTGCTAGGGATCTGGATGATAGGACTGTGAAAGACGAGCGGCTGGGCGGCGACTCTGTGGATATCAGTCATTACAGCGCAGTGGGGGATGATGGGAGTCAGGTGGATGAGGAAGAAGAAGAAGATGACCACTACGAGCCTGAGTCCAGCTGTGTGGAGATCGTGGGGCTACCTGAAGAGGAGAGCCCACCCACATCCAGGAAGATCCGCTTCAGCACAGAACCAATCAAGGTAAGAATATATAAAGATATAAAGCTGTCATAGAGCAAGAGCATTTTATTATGACATAAAGAGAAACAGTAGAAATGGGTCGAGTCTGTGTCGCCTTTGTTTAACAAAAGGCTCAGACATTGATCCCTGGTCATAGGGAGTTTTTAAACTGTGTGAGATGCATTGTTTTTATATAGCGTTAAAAGGCCTGTTTACTTTGACCTCACTGCTTATCTTCCATGATACAGTTGCAGACACTGATGCCATCGCCTGGTCTAATGAGCTTCCTCAGCTTTTGCTGGTGTCAATATAATGCTGACGTTTTTTGTTCTGTTCTCTTTCAAGATGTCGTCCCCCCCACATCCCCCGCCCCTCACACAGTAGCCAGCTGCTCACAGCTGGTCCTACATTCCTACTGTGCAGCTGACATTGGCCCTCAGAGAAGTGCGGTAGAGATGATTGTCAGAAATGTAGCAGGAACTGCTTCTGTAAATAATTGCCCGGGGGAGAGAGAGGGAGAGGACTATAAAGGCATGGATAATTAGGGCTGTTTTTAGAGAAGTGGATACTCTGCTGCGGCCAATGGAAGGTCTTACTCAGAGCTGAATGTCTAATGCAGTGTTCTTCTGTGTGAGCAACACAGGGAAGTGAGAAAAGCTTGAGATCTCCTCTTGGACAGTGAGATTAGAGAGAAGGGAAGACTAGGACGAGGCAAGGAGGGGAAGAGTTGATGTAGACGAGTCCGTGGGTGGTGGAATGATCTGGAGAGGGGCATCTCTTGCTGCCCTGCTCTGCTTTGAGCTCTGAGACAGACACAGTGGGCTCTGGAAGTGAACATCACTAACACATTTCCACACGCAGAAAACTATCTTTGTGACAAAGAGCTTCTGTCCCACATCAAGACCAGTCAGGCTGAAAGGTGCTCCTGCTCTTTTCCTGTGGCTGCACTTTGGCCAACAGTGCTTCAACCAGTCAAGGCTTTCAAAGAGGGTGAAGTGAGTCAGTGCATGGCCGTGTGTTCCTGGTCGGGACGTGACGCCCCAGGTTTATCAGTAGACCTCCCACTTCCAGACCCAAGGCTAGATGAACGCACGTGTGTTCTGTACAGGACACGTGTATAACCTTAAGTGGAGAATGGAACTGGAACAGGATGAGGAAAGTGAGTGTCGTTATTGTTAAGTCAAAATTGTTCATTCTGCTGGGAATACATCACTGTGGATGTAGCTGGTCCCACACAATAAAAACAAGTGCAAAAGCAGATTTATGAGAAGCACACGAGCACAGGTCAGACAGAGGAGATGAGGGAGGCAGCGTCAGGATGGAGGTATGAGCCAGAATATTTCAGTCTCCCTGTGTGACTGGTCATCAGAAAGGCAGGCAGATGTTGTCACTGTAAAGTGCCACATTGTGTTTGTGCTGCACCAACAGTTGTGTTTGTCTCGTTTGTTCACTGTGCTGAGTCCTTTTAGGGTTTTTTTTTAGAGAACATACTATACCAAAGCTACAGTATGTGCTCATTCAGCAGAATATTAAAATGATATAGTTATTATACAGTATATAGTTGAGGATGTCAGACATATAAACATTTAATTTTTTTCCCCCTAAGCTCTTAACTAAATTCTCAGGAATCACAAAATCATGGTTAAACTGAATTGGTTCATAAAGTTAGGAGAATAAACACACACAAAAAAATCAGTTTTGTGGTTTCAGTGTGATCTGAAATGTATATTTATGCATGTGTGTGAAGTATGTCACGAGTCAAAATTAATTGGCTTGAATGAAAAGCAGTGTGTGTGTGAGATCCTGAAGCCATCACCATAGAACAGCCTCCTACTGGATCCTTTCACACTGTATCTTTGTTATGGAGCGTGACACAGCAGGGGTCAAGGGGAGAGAGGGAGTGTGTGTGTGTGTGTGTGTGTATGTTTGGGTGGTGGGGTTATTTCGAATGCTTTAGTTTGATGTCGTGTGACACAACTGCCACCCCTACAGTCTCAGTCGGTCTTCCATCCAAACAGGAAGTGCCCATTTTGTGTGCTGCATATTTCCCTCCTCTGTGAACTACACAGCTTTTGGCCACAGCGAAGTCTTGTTGTGGTGCTGGTGGTTTCCACGTCTGAGCACATGCCTTTCCTTTGTCCCTGTTTCACACACCGAGTGCTGCTCTCTGTCAGTCCGCAGCTCTGTCCTCTCTAACTTGCAAAAAATAGCCGCTCTGCTGCGGGTACAGTTCATACTAAGGCCTTTGTTTGCGTCTGACACACACATATTTGAATGTACGCACTCTCTCACACACTCCTTCTTGTCTCCTTTTCGCTCTTTGTAACCACAAGCCTCATACTGTTAGTAAAAATAGCAGCATTGTTGTCGTCGCGGGCTGCCTCGCTTTTTGGGGCTGACTCCTCGACGAACAGGAAGCTGCCCTCTCATGTCTTAGCTTCTAAGCACGTTTGCTTTGGTTTTCATTGTAGCACGGTTCACGTTGTCATTCCCTTGGCGTGCTTTAAGTTATTCATTGTTCCAATGTGATGTTGTTAAAGATTTTATCGTTTCGAATAAAATAATCTCAAGTAGTTCCCTCAAAATGGGATGTCACAATAATAATAATAATAATAATAATAATAAATCATCATCAGGATTATTTTGGTCAATATTTAAATCAACAAATACTTGTTGACTCTGGAAAAGCACTTATTGCAACAAATGTGACATAACTTTACTATAAAAATATGGCAAAAAATGCTAAATACTGTATTCAAATAATAAAATGCAATGAATGTTAATCAGTAAGAAAAAAAATGAAATGTACAATATGAATAAAATAAATAGAAACATAAAATGTTAAACAAAGTTATTTAGACAAAAATATATTTGTAGAATATTAGAATAATCCTATACATGTATTGTATTTTGCAAACTATGGTCAATTAAAAAAATCAAAATTCAACAATTGCACAGCCCTGCCCAACACCAAATAAAAGTCCAGTGTATTCATGTTTCAACCAATCAACACCACAATAACAAGCAACTCTTGTGGGTTTCTGCTGCGTTAGCAGCAGAGCTTCAACCTGCTGTTAGCACAAATACTGTAACAACAGTCGGTGAAATCTGACTAATGTATTAGAAAGTTCATTTTAAAAGGCTGCTATTACAAAGGGCAGAGAAGAGTGAAATTGTGGCCTCTGATAGGTTGTGTTCTGCGCTCAGCTCGGTCAGCTCAGTGAGCGATTGCCCCAGGAAAGCTAATACATCTCCATATGTCAATGTATCCTCAAACTGCCTATTACTTAGACCTAGCTGCAATTCGTACTGTGTGTTGCTCACAGCCTGCAGGGGTGGGAGGGCAGACAGAGTACCAGCAAGGTCACCCTGCCCCAGTTCTCAACCGCTGCAGGGGCGGTGGGTTGCGAGCTGTTACTGTGACGCTTCCACTCGCTCAGGTTGGTGCAGAAAGTCATGTTATGTAATGTGCGGGTGCTAGTTTATCATCTCCTACCTGCCATTGTCTCGTCAGGAACAGATGATGCAGTTACAGTCTGTCGTTGCACTTGTGTATCTAGGGGACAGAGATAAGTGAGAGTTTCAGATACCTTTTTTAAAAATTGTATTTATTTAAAACTCTGTTTCGCTTTTAAGCAGAACCATCACCAAAATACACTCCCACTATGACTGTAGAAATGGGTTGAACAGAACTGTCATGTCATTTTTAAGAACTATAACATACCTATAAATACTTTTTAGTTTTTCAAAAGTGACATGATTTTAAATAACCCTCCCCAGGGTTAGCACCAAGCTACATAAACCATGGCTCCTAATAATCAACAATAACCAATAATCAAGCAACTGTTATTATGACCTTTGATGGCAGGGAAAGAACAGAACAGAACAGAACAACAGTTATCCACATTCTTATTGTCTGACTGTCTGGTCCTCATGTGGGATCTGGATTAACTCCCAAATTTAGGAGGATTTAAAAGCAATTAGCTGCCCCTTCTGGGTATATTTGACCTGTGGTATGTAGGGCACTTAATGGTGTATCAATTAGACTGCTAACGGGAAGAAGGAAGCCTCATTAGGCATTTCTTAGGCATTCTGACCTTAAAGAAAGGCAGGTTACATGTAGAATATATAGCTGTTATGGTGTTACGTGACTCTACCTGACTCTACACCGATATCATATTGTAGATGCAGTCAACACCCTCAGCAGTTATGTGTAAAACTTGAAGTGTACTATGAGTGTACTAGGCCTATGGGGTGAATATAGTGAAGGGTTGAAGTGATATTAAACTCAAACTAATGTCACCGTCTTCACGTGTTTTTGGAGAACGAATAGAAAAGAGAGGGAGCATTTGGTGGACTCTTGGACATGGTTTTGTGTAAGGGGGTGGGAGGTGTTGACATGGGGACGGTGGGGGTTGGAAGGGGATGTAACACCATGGTGTTACATCACAGTGGAACCAGTGGACCCCTGTGATAGGCCTAGACCATGGTGGAGCTACAGTCTCCAGAATTGCTGTGGCCTCCCACAGCAGCAACTCTGTTGTAGAGTGTTAATTTGTCACATATTGGCTGCTTATAATTCACTTCACATTCCCAAATGGGCACTCTGCAGGGACTCGATCACAATCTGTTAGCTGATGAGCGGCTATAGATTTCTTTAGTAGGACATTTCAGGCAACTGCCGACAGAAGAAGGGAGGAAGGGAGTTTCCTGGCCATCTGTTGGCTCCTCTGACCTACTATCTGCCACAACTGGAACAGTGTCCCCTCCCCTCCCCTCCTCTCCCAGCCCAGACCCCCTCCCCCTCTCTCCTTCCCTCCCCTCCACCCTGCCCATAATCCCAATGCTTGTCATCCAAAGACAGCCATATACCTCACCACTCCAAGGCTCAATTTTTCAGCCCTGCAATGTTGAAGTGAAATTTCGCTTCATGCTATTTCTATATGATTCTGTGTCAGTGAGGCGAGACTGTAACTTCTGTGTCTCATGCTAAATATTAGCTGACATTCTCATGTAACCATTAGCAGCAGCCCCTGTTAATCACCATTTGTTTTTAATTTCACTTCTTTCAGTTCTGGAGCAGGGAGTGAGCCCATGTCATTGGAGATGTCACAGCAGACTTGGCGTGCCAGTCCAGGGTGCATACTGTGTATTTTGTGTGCCTATAATCCACATTATGTTAATCCCACTACATATAAAGGTCGCCTAAAGAAAAAAAAAAAACTCTGCTCCCATATTATTGACCTACTGCAGTATATCAGAAACAGTCACTTGAATATAACTTACATCATAACTGAAATTTGTCATTTACTTTTTCAAAATTGTTAAAATAAAAATAAAATGCAGCTGTGGATCAACGGTCGAATGAACCTGACAGGCTAAATTCACAGCTATGATTTCTTTTTTTAAAGCCAAACGACTTGATCCTCAGTATCCTCTGGTTTCAGTGTGACATAAATGACACAGATGTGTAAATAGAAAACAAAATCCAACAGTTTTGGGCCACTGATTAATAATTTGTTGTCAAATTAATAGTTAATGTAGATGCTAACTAAGCGTCTGTACAGTTCAATTACAAATCAAAGCTCATGTGGGTCAGTTAGTGGTTGTGAATGGCCTGCGACGTCTACTACTTATGCTAGAAAACACAGAGTTGTGGTAGCTGCTGTATATGGCACAAACATGAGAACTGTATATAATATATGTACAGCACATGTATATAATAATAATAACTTTCATATTTGTCTGCATAGATGAATGCAGTGGAGTTTGAGAGAGTCTGGACCAGTGTTCAGAGTGTGGTTCAGCTCATGGTGTAATTCCATAAAACATTTTTTAAGCTTTTATTCGCTGCTCATTGGTGCATATAAGTATGTGCCTGTTGAATTGGACCCTGAATAGAAAAGCCGGTTACATAAAAGCACTGTCAAAGCTGACGGGCCCATCACTGCAGACATGGCTGCCAGACAAAGCTTAAATAAGTGAAGCAGTGGAGTTTCTCCCATAATGGAATACCCCAGGTTTATGGACAAATATCACTCGGATGTTGTGACACAAAAATCAACTACAGTATATTTAAATTTGAATTAAGCTAGTCTGATTTGGTGACTGTATCTAAGCCTCAGTTGCAGCCTTTCAGGGACAGTTTTCAAAGCTTTCGAGATGCTGCTTAGCAGCACAGATGGACAAACCAAACTGCATGAAAAGGATGCACAGAATGAAGAAAACAAAAACAAAATGTGCAAAAATAAATGATATGTGAGGACAAAAGCTTTCAAATGTAATAAAATACATAAAACGATGAGTGAAAGAGAGAGTCTGGCTACTGAATTGGTTTAGCTAGTGGGCCAAGCAGAGTGCACTGTGCATGCATAATCACCTTGGAAGAAGCAAAGCTTTTAGACATTTAGCTTCCCCTCTCTCTTCTTTTCTGTCGGTACGTGTGTGTGTGTGTGTGTGTGTGTGTCTAGCCCTTGAACAGCAGCTGCAGAGTTGCCTGCATTAGCATGCTGGAGGTGGCTGTGTAAACTGTCATGCTGCTAGGGGCAGTGTGAATGCTGGAATCCAGGCCCTGGAAACAGAGGCCTTTAAAGTCTTGGTAGAAAGTGCAGTGGTAAAAATGTTTTGTTTTTTTTATTCTTTGCCTGTTGTGTTTGTAGCAGAACAATATTCTGCTCCAAGGCCCAGAGGGGCAAAAATCAGCATCCATCTGTCTGGGATTATTAACCCCTTTACACATGGAGTCCTCTCACCTGTAGAATATTTTGGTGAATAAAGGTTTGTTTTTTCCTTCCCTTCTTAATGAGTGATTCTTCATAAACTCTTTTCAACAAGCTGCACAGGAAGTCACATGGTCTCTGTTTTTACCTGCTAACCTTAACTCTCCCCAAACAAGTCTAGAGCACTAGAACACAAGCATCTCACACATGTCTTACAGGAGCTGAAGAACATTTTTTTGCAGAACTAAAAGAAATCTCTGATGCAAAACTCTGTTTAAGTGAGTCTTAGTGGCCTCACCTGGTGTTTCTGCTTCCTCCTGCAGGTGTTCGCCACATACTGCAATGAGGACTATGACCGACGCAATGAAGATGTGGATCCAATGGCTGCATCTGCTGAGTACGAGCTGGAGAAGAGGGTGGAGAGGCTGGACCTCTTCCCAGCGGAGCTGGAGAAAGGTAATAAAATAAAGAAAAAAACATTTAAAAAAATACTGTAGCCGGCCAAACAGTGCCCCCAGTGGTTGTGCCAACAGCCAAGATTTTTTGCACTATACAGTATGAGTTACATTTTTGAAAATTGTCAGAGTGTGACTGTGTACATTTCCCAGGACCTTAGGATAAATGTATTCCTTCTCTGTGAGAAAAGGGAACAGACCAAGTTTTGCTCTTTCTCTTCCTAATTTTAACCCAGGTGTAGGCAGTGAGGCAGAAATCTGTCTGTCATTAGTGTGTGTCCACAGCCACACTTGACAGTCACACAAAGTAACATAGATAAAAATGCAGTTCACAGTATTGTACCCTTGCCGTGTCTGCAGATAGTGACGGCCTGGGCATCAGTATTATTGGAATGGGTGCTGGGGCCGACATGGGCCTGGAGAAGCTGGGTATCTTTGTGAAAACAGTCACAGAAGGAGGAGCTGCTCACAGAGACGGCAGGTCAGTGATGATGATCATCAAGTCAAGCACGTTGAAAAGATCTTGGTATTATATGTATGTTAATTTAAGATATTTATCAAGTTACAGATATGTGTTTTTCACTATCTTAAATAACTCTTTATTTCCTACTCAGTGGTGGAGTCCTAGTCCTTGTTGTGTGTACTCTACAGTGAAAACAGTTACTGTTAACACTGAATGTCTGCCTCAGGATCCAGGTCAACGATCTGATCGTGGAGGTGGACGGGACCAGTTTGGTGGGGGTCACTCAGAGCTTTGCCGCCTCCGTACTCAGGAACACCTCAGGAACTGTCAAGTAAGGTTCTAACAACACATGAAAAAAGTGATTCCCAACCACTGGGCTGTGGAACACTAGTGTGCCGTGCACAGTAACATTTCTACAACAAATGTGTTGGGAATGGGAATGGAAATGGGAATGTGTGGAAAATTGGGATATCGCTATTTTAAATTTAAATTAATTTTGAAATGAGACCGGAACAGATCTATAGTAACTAACTAACTGTAAGGGCATCAGGGGAATGGAGGTTTATGTTTTATTGTGACAAACAGAATAGACGACTGGAGAACATTGTTGATATCTGATCAAATGCAGACAGAAATTCAGACGACCACTGTAGTTTTGCCACTCTGTTGTGACCTACATAATGACGGTGACCATCTTATCAGAATAGATGTTTCCTCTTGGTATTCTATGCACCCTTATGCAGTCATCTGTGCTGGCTGCTACCACATCCTGCCCATTCAGCTAACCACCGTAGATTTATATCTCACGTCTCAAAGGACTGTGATTATACCCTTTAGTGAAATACCCCTTTTAGAGACATTCAGCAGAAAGTCCTAAGATACACTACTGCCCTAGAAAAACGTGGTGACGCTCATATCCATGGTTGGCATTGCATTAAAATGCCACAGGGCTATTTGTAGCCTTGTTGTTTTGGTGGACTGCTGCCGTTTGTGTTCCTTTTGTCCTGGACAGCTCTTTCATAATTTAGGTTTAAGTGCTGTTGAGGTAATTATCAGTGTAGTGAGGCCTGTGACGATCAGAGGCCTTCATTGATTACTCATGCATTATGGAGCTGCTGCAGTGCTGGACATAAGTACCCCTGGGCTCTGGTCAATTCATAAAAGACATTAGGAAGACAAATAGAAAGAAGCAGGGAGTGTTTTTGTGAACATTTAATTATGCATCGTAGTAGTCAAGCAGAAATTGAAAGGCTGCAGCGGCTGAATTTAACAGCATTCACTACTGCCACTCTTTATCCTCTATAATTGGATAAAGATTTGTGAGCCTTAATCAGAAAGCATGCATGCACTATAACTAGCTGCACCGTGAGCTACGTGGAGCTGATGGTTTGATTTGAATCTCACACAGAGTGAGTGTCATTGTTTACCCCTAAACAGGAAGCCATTTGCTCTTTAGGTTTAAGAACAGGCACATTTCTTACTGCATGGATACATGAAACTGTAGCACTGCAGGAACTGAATACAAAACACACTCCCTGGGTGCACGTCCCAACAGGGCTTACAGTATAAGCCTGAGTGGACGGGAGGGAGAAGCTGTGGTGATAAATTATTTAAAGTGCACGTACACTATTAAACAATAACAGTGAAGGACTGTTTAAGATCCTTTGGCTGCATTAGTAATATCAGTGTTAATGTTGTAATATTAGACCAGTTAGACTAATTAACTATTAGTAAAACTATTGACACACTCCAAAAAATGTATTGGCACAGAAGCATAAGGATTCATGTATTGGTGAAGTTAACCATGGCCTCAGTCTAGAGTTTTTGTCCATAAAATAAAACATTTAAATTTGTATGTTATGTCCTGTGTGACCATTGGAAAGAAGGCAGTCTGTGTAAACAACAAAAAAATGTTCATGAAACTCAAAAGGTCCAACATCAAAATACACCTTTGCTCCTGGTAAACCACTGCAGAAGTAAATGATAAGCACAATTCTCTCCCTTTACATAAGACATTAACCAGGTTCCTAGTATTGTGGGACAAGTATGCCTGCATGCCTTTTTTAATATGCAAAAAGTTATTGAACTATTTACATTTTTAATTAGCACTTCATTACTGCAGTATTTCTTTTTATTATTTAAATTATTAATTATTAGTAAATTATCTAGTCTTCATAGTTTTTGCAGCCAAGCCCTTGCTACTGTCTCTAGTCCTTGCAATGGAACATGTCTGACTGCCATTTGTAATAATCCAGGTTTGTGATTGGCCGAGAAAAGCCAGGTGAACAGAGTGAAGTGGCCCAGCTTATCCAGCAGACCCTGGAGCAGGAGCGCTGGCAGAGGGAGATGATGGAGCAGCGCTACAACCAGTATATGGACGAACAAGAGGTCAGTGCTAACACTGACAGCAGGGCCTGATGTAAAAACGTGTTGTTACTGTTAAATGAATGGTGATGTGTGATTTATTCTCAGTTCTATAACAGTGGTGTCTATAACACATTATACTGTAGTTTGTCATTTAAATATCATTTCAGTTTAATAGAGTGTAATACTATAAATATACCCCTCTCTTGCCCACGTGGTTAAATGTCAAAACTGTGAAATGTGATTCACGAGTTTGGACTTTAGGTAAAATAAATGACTTGACCTGACGTTTCATACATTTCACTGTAAAAGATTGAGAATGAAAGACTGGAAGTGCCTCCATTAACGTGTTTTGGAGCATAAGGAACACCTTATTTCCTTTTTGTGTTTGGCACCCTCTAGTGTGGAATTATCGCAACTGCATGAGTTAGGAACAACCGCTACATTTAGCCTTTCTGCTGCAGAAGAAAATCGGTTTATGTATGGCTCTGGCAAAAACTGAAATTTGAACAATCCCAAATGTTACAGTTATAAACAGTTAGATATTTATTTTTGTGACATTGCAGTATGCATGTATTCACTGAGTACAGAAGGGAGGCAGAAGCTTGTATCAGTGTGTCACCCGAAGTGAGCACCTGGTTGCTCAATCCTACCATATACTTAATTGTGAAAACAATAAATGTCTGTGTGCGTGTGTTACCTTGTATACCACAGGGTGCAGAATATGGCACAGATGAAGAAGAGGACGAGGATGAGGAGGTCAGTCCGTCGTATCCCAGTGCCATTGAGGTGTTTGACTTGGCAGAAAACGAGGACATGTCGCCACTGGAGACAGACCCAGAGAAACTGGCCCATAAGTACAAAGAGGTGAGACGTTTTCTGAGTAACTGGAACATTTTCTGAGTAATCACAGTGTGTCTCCCCTGATGTACTTACACATGTATTTAAACTGTCATCTCTCTGCTGTACAGCTCCAAATAAAGCACGCTGTCACCCAGGCTGAGATCCAGCAGCTTAAAAGAAAGGTACGCTTTAAAACTTGTTCTAGGAAAATGATTTAAAAAAAAAATCTGACTTCAAATAAAAAGCTCAGAATTATATATTTATTTATTTATTCTTACCATCTTCCAGCTGCACCATGCAGAGCAGGAGAAACAGCGCTGGCGTATGGATAAAGCTCAACTGGAACAGACCCTGCAGGAAAACAAAGAACGTATGGATAAGTTGGAGGGCTACTGGATGGAGGCTCAGAGCCTGTGCCAGGCTGTGGACGAGCACCTGAAGGAGACACAGTCCCAGTACCAGGCACTGGAGCGCAAGTACAGCAAAGCCAAACGTCTGATCAAGGAGTATCAGCAGAAGTAAGGCAAAGTAATTACCCCAGTGAGTGTAAAGAGTCAAAGGATTCATCTGACACCATCACCTGTTGTATCCATTAGGGAGATCGAGTACCTGAAGAAGGAGACACAGCGTTGTGCACAAGAAGCAGCGGAGGCATCTGTTGGAGAAGAAGAGGCTGGACAGATTGAAGAGCAGGTGCAAGAGGTGATCAGGGCTAAACTCATGTTATGTTGATGAATAAATAACGTCTGTAGGATGTGTTAATCACAGAAAGGAACGGAACATTTTTTAGGCAAAAAAAACATTGAAAACCCCTTTTTAATCTTTTGCAGGTGACTGACACAGAGGAGGCTAAAGTGGAGGAGCTGAAGTCAGATCCTTTGTAAAAACCTTTGTCTCCATCACCTGTTTCAGGACAGACAACCTAAGGCGATGGTGTAGACAATAGTGTTGTAGTACTTGCGGTAAACTGCAGGGTAATTCTCTTCTTCAACCTGAACGTGGTCTCTGTAGAATTACAAAGTTTGGGAACAAACTTTGTAATTCTGCCATTTTACTCCTTCTGATGATTTGTTTTTCTGTTTGACATTCACGCCACCAACTTGTGATGTACTATTCCTTTCTTTTAAAATCCAGTATTTAATCCCTTCAACCTTACTTTATGGTTTTGTTACAAACTGAGTCGTTACTTTTTAATTGCCAAAAACAGAACCTGTTTTTCCCACCTCTTTTGTCCAGTTTTGTGAATCTCTTCCTTTATGAATTTGTACAGACGTGACGCTGTGTGGTTTAACAATCAAACTGGTTTGTAAAAAATTTGATTCTGTGTATAACACTTAATATAAAAGGAAGAAGCGAGTTTGGCGTTGGTTGTATATTTTATGGTTGTAAATGGGATCGAAGATTGCACTGAAGAAGTCGTCGCGTAGAAAGGAGGGAACATGCGTCGATGAGAAGTTGGACGAACAGAAACACAACTGTCATTTAGGGTGTTGTCACTTTCCCCCTGAAAACCAACTGCTGCCTACCTTTCTGAAGTGTTTGTGTGTTTTCTACACATCAGGACTCAGCACATGAGCAACAAATCCTACATTTTTAACCCTGTCTCAAGTTGGACAGTCCAGGACTTTGACTTTGCCACTTCTAGTCTTGTCAACAGTCCCACAGTATGGACCTGAAGCAGGTGTTTCTGGGAGGAGCACAGAGACAACTCTGCAACTTGTGCCACAAATAACCATGGACCTCTCTCTCCTTACCCATCAAAAATGGATGTCGTAAAAGGACTTTGTGTGTAACATTACTAGTTAGGACTACTACTGAATACTTCTGGAAACACCATAAGACTTGGGACAATGAAGCAGCTACCAGCAGTGAAGTCACAGATTTAAAGAACCAGCAGCTGCACTTAACACCACCGTGTGTAGCACACATGAAGAAGAACATGGGATAAAAGGAGAAAAGAAAGGAAAACACTGCCGGGTTTCTACTTGTTTCAACATAACGCACAGTTTAAAGTGAAATTGAGTCTACTTGTGTCAGCTGTCATAACCAATATGTTTGTATAGTTCAGGTGAGACAAATATTTTACGTAATATTTATAACGTAGTCTACAGGAGGGAGGGAAACATGGGACTTAATGACAACACTGAAAGAAAAAAAATGGTACAGGATGAAGCGATGATCACTAGTTATTATACCGTCATATAAAACAAAAAAAAGTAGATCTGAAAATGAGTAAATTGAAAACAAGGCATGGTTATGAGTATTTTCATATTAAGGCTTGTACAGTGCACATGCTTTGCATTGTATGTTTTGTGGAATAAATGGTCAACAGTACTGGTCATTGTGTTGTGGTATTTTATAATGAGGTAGGGGTAGGTGTACCAGGTGTTATTACAACTAGGGGGTGTGGTGGTGTGGGGGCTAGGCAGGGTGAAGGGGGTGATGTGGGGTGTAGGTGTACCAGGTGATGTTACAGCTTCGGGGCCAGAGGTGGTGTGGGGTAGTGGGTAGGGCTTGTCCAAGGATAAGCATGTGGCTGTCTGACTCACTAAGAGCTGTGGTTTACTTGCATGATGTCATTGGGGAAGCGAGTCGTGTTGCGTTGCACCGTTTCTAAAATGGAACACCTTAGAGTGATTGAGCATGAACATGCTTTATTGAGAACAGAAAACAATACTGCATTTTAAAAAACTAAGTCTTCATCTTTGAATAAACGTATGCATGGTTTTCAATAACGCGCAAAGCGTAACACTAAAAGAGAAGTTCTCCGGTCTCCTTTTTGCACCGAAATGTGACGTGACTACAAGTGCATCTTCTGGTGGTGCCTCCTGAGGTGATAATTCCGGGAAAAGCTCTTTCCACACTCGGTGCATTTGAACATTTTCTCTCCCATGTGCAGCATCTGATGTGCCTTCAGACTATGTGGACGGCTGAAGCTTTTACCACATTCATGGCAGGGGTATGGTTTCACTCCTGTGTGCTTCCTCTCGTGTCGCTTCAGGTCGCCCGACTGCCGGAAGCTTTCTCCGCAGTGTGTGCACAGGTAAGGCTTCTCACCAGTGTGAGTCCGGAGGTGCACATTGAGCTGGCATGTGTAAGTGAAGCTCTTACTGCAGTGGGGGCAGCTGTGCGGCTTCTCCCCTGTGTGAATGCGCTGATGTTGCTTCAGGGTGTAGTGGTTCATGAAGCCTTTCCCACAGTCTGTGCACAAATACAGAACCTTCACCTGTTGGAAGCATGTGTGAGACTTGAAGGCTTTGGCAGTAGAACAGCTCTTCCCACAATTGGGACACACATACTGCTTCTCACTTTGCTCCTCCTGCAGCTGAACTGTCATGCTGTCTGAGTCGCAGAGCGAGAGGTACTCCACCGGGTGGTGCCTTTTGACGTGTTTGATTAAGTAGTTCTTCATAGTGAAGGAGAACTGACAGAAGGAGCAGGAGAAAAGCTCAGAGTTGCAGTGGTACTTCATACAAGCTTTGTTCTTCTGGTGCTGCTTCAGTTTACAGGCAGTGGGGAAGACCTTTCCACAGTGGTCACAACCGTACGACTGTGTGGTTGAGTGCACCTTCTGCTCGTGCCTCTTCAGAAAGCCCGACTTACTGAAGGCTGCTCCGCACTGTCCGCACTTAAGCTGTTTCAGAGCACACTTGTGAGATTTCAGATCTTCTTGGTTCCCATAAGTTCGTTTACATCTATCGCAGCCAAACCATTTGTATTTTCTGAACCTCACATTTCTGACCGACGCTGTTGGAGACTTTTGAGCGCAACGCTGCTCGGTTTTAGGCTTCTTGCTGACTGTGGCTCTTTGTTTTGGTGCAATAAGCTTGGTTATAGCTGAAATCCTTGATCTGGCCCTGAGTCTCTGAGGTCTTTGAGAAGAACTGTTTTGGACTGATTCAACAGTTTTTGTCACAGAGGGTTGTGGAATGAAATCAGGGTCGTCACTGTGATCACTTTCAGCATGGGCTGTCAGGGGATTTTGGTTTGTCTCTGCTGAATCCTCTGAATTGCGCTCACTGATGTGTTGTTGAAGGGTTTCCTCTGAAGGAGCACAGTTAAATAAATTAGTGTCTGGTTCTGGTTCATCTGTAGCCTCAGCTCCCTTTGTTTTCCTTTTTCTCTCTTTCCTGTGAACCTGCAGATGCCTGTTCAGGTCATGGTACTGACCAAAGCACCTCTGACACACAGAGCAGACATAAGGACGTACCTTCTCATGAACACCAGGCTTTTTTGTGTAAGCTTTGTTCCTGATGGTCTCTACAGAGTCAGAGGAGTTGTCATCAGGTGTTTTTGCTTCCTCAGTTTCAGTTACATCTCCCTCTTCTTGATTCTCTTGTGCAGTATTTTCCTTTGGTTCTTCAGGTGAAGACGTCTCTGCAGTCTGAAGGACTTTTGATCTTTGTGTGCAGGTGTTGTTCGTCTCAATAACAGTTTGGCTTTGCTTGGTAACCTTTGTCCCAGTTTGCTTTCTGTGAACCAGCTCATGTCTGATTAGACCCGAGGCTTGGCTAAAAGTCCGTCTGCAGGTTTGGCAGCAGTAGGGCCGTTTGTTGGAGTGGACGCAAAGTTTGTGTCTTCTGAGATGTGGCATTTGCTTAAAAGTCTTCCCGCAATCCTCACAGGTTTTGCAATCAACTGGATCAACAGACAACACTACCATGGATTCAACAGAGGTTGCTGATTCAACAGTGGGAGTAGGATTTTCAGATTCACTTCCATGAGAGACAGGTGGTGCACAGTCTCCTGTGGGTGGAGGGTGAGACTTTTCTATGTGTCGCTGAAGAAACGCTTCTGTGGTAAAGGAAAGCTCACAGTGGGAGCAGAGGAGAACCTGAGATGTTTCTGTATGACTACTCTCTGAAAAGACAACAATAAACCGTAACGTTACAAACATTACACATCCCAGTAACTTTAAAGAGGTCAAAGTAAAAAAAAAACTGGCAAATGAAACAGGTACCTGCTGACTTTAACCTCATAAACCAAATCTGGGTCCAGGATTCACTGAAGTCGGCGAGAAGTTTGTCGCTGGGCCAAACCATGAGCTCATCACCAGGGTTGATGGAGCGGCAACAATGAAAGAAGATGCTGTCTTTGTACTGCACTGCCAGCAGATTGGCCTCGTTTTTATTACGAGCAAATCTAACATACCTGCATTTGAGAGGAAAACATATTCTAAAGTTTTGTGTACAGGTATTTGATTTTAATGTTTTATTTATTTTTTTCAGAAATCTGACACAATGTATATATCGCTGACTGTATTAATAAAACTGTAAGAAAAACACTAAGTTCACATGAATGTAAAAACTTAAGAAAAAAGACTGATTAATATAATCAGAATCTTTAGAATATTGGAAGAAAAGATTTTCAAAGGCCAATTGGCCCACTAATCATGTCCACGCTATGGTGCATCAAGTGTCCAGCTGTTCTGCCTTTTGACCACAGGCGGGCATTGTAACCTCAGGTGCAGCTTTGTAAAGTGTTGCATTGTTTAAATGAATTGGAATGGCTATTTAATAGTTCATATTTTTGAAAACTGCTATGAAATGATTCAAATGCTACAATACATTTACGTATGTATGTCTATATATGTATGTAAGTTCTGCATCCATGATTTACTTGTGACACTTAATCTAGAGACAGTATTTTATAAAAACATGTTTGAAATATAATTTTATCTTCTTGTCATTAAGTATGTTAATCTATTAATTGCTCCTTTTCAAATCTTTGTTATTTTATAAACAATTATTTACAAATATTTTACCTCATCCAGTTTGAGTGTGAATCCTTGGCAGCATCAATGTACTTGTAACCAAGCTCCCCTTTATAAATCTGCAAAACAAACAAAAAGAGAACAACAGTCTGTCAGAACAACACTCATCCTTGTTCAAGCAATGCTGTTGGTCAATTCTGAGCTCACCTCCCAGGAGAGGTCACTTGTCAAAGCTCCTTCACAGGTTGTTACTTCACCCTCATAAGGTCCAAAATGCATTCCTGGACAGACACTTGGTCCATGATTTATGACACCAATGCCCGCCATGGGAATACTGGACCTGCCTATTGTTAGGCCATGTGGAAGTGTAAGCAGGGCCCGCTGAGGGACACCAATGTTTGTTGGAAAGTCAAGGACAAACGAAGGGCCACTGATGTTTGAAGAATCGTTGTTGTTGTTATCGAAGAGACTCAGACATTCCTCACAATCTGGTAAATAAAAACAGTGGATACAAAGTATGTGCTTTGATTGGTTGTCCTGATCCATTACCAAGGTAAACATTTTTTACCACTAGGCATTTTAGCTACAAAAACCAAGTCAATAAGGTGAATACTTTGATGAGAAAATGTATTAGGTGAATAGAGATCCACACTTACAAAAGCCAGTGGTAGCCTCTGGATTTTCTCCTTGACCTAAAGTTTCCAGTAACTTCTGAACAGGTGCTTCTGCTTCATCTGAAAGCTGCTGCACTACAGAGGACAAACATGTTTTTAGATTAGATTAAACTTCATTGATCCTACACTGATGAAATTGATGTTGCAGCAACGAAAAGAACAGAAAATTGCACAAAAAGGTTGAAGAAAATAGCAATTAATAAACAGAATGAAGTTAACAGTGCAGATTTGATTTTTCACTACAACATAAAAAAACAGGATGTGCTTCATGTAAAAAATTGTAGTACTGATAGTATTAATGTAGTATTAGAAATGGAAATATATAGTTATATACATTCTGTCCAATATAAAACAAAATGTAACTTCTGACAAGTTTTAGCCAGCAGCTACCGTATTTTCCAGACTATAGGTTGCACCAGTCAAAAAAGCAAGACCAAGAAAAAAAAAAAACCCATAATAAAGTCGCTCCAGCCAGCAAGAGTGCCCTCTAGCCGCTGTCAGTGTGAAAAGAACAAACGTGAATTTTCAGTGGTACAAGAGTAGCACATACTGGTAGACTAGGAGTGCCCTTTCGCGGAATGTGCAGATGTGAAATTAAATATTTTGATTTATAAGTTGCACCTGAGTATAGGTCGCAAACCCAGCCAAAGGATGAAAAAAAGTGCGACTTACAGTGTGGAAAATACCGTAATCACCAGAGGGGAGTCTGAATTTGCTGCACTTATTGGTTGCTAAGTATACATAGATGAGCAACAACAACAACGACATTAACAACATATATATATAGATACACAATTTAGTTCCATGTATAACTTAGACTAGACTCCAGAGTTTTGCAATTGTGTAATTCATAATTACACAAATGCAAAAATTGTCCTGAAGCATGACTGCTTCTGATACGTTGTTTACACCTGAATAAATGTTTGCATGTTTTACTTTTATTTACCTGTGCGAGTGTTATCCTCAGACGTTAACATCTCCTCTGTTACAACCTCCTCGGTTGCCTCCACCCACTCCACCTCAGCGCTGGGGATCGACATAAGGAACGACCCTGTGTGGCCTTACAGTAACAATATGGATATGTAGAAATGTAAAACTATGTCAAAACGCATGCTAGCTTAATTTAGCAAGTGAAACATGGTTTAATAATGCAGACGTTGATGCTTGGCTATTTTAATAATTTATAACATATGATGGCAGAGTCCCATTTAATCATTGATGTTGTAAAAAAGTTATTTTGCGTAGACTTATCTTATTTGACAGTTAGTTGATGCTATGTGGCTACTACACGTACCAAGTAACAATATGGAGTCAAATTATTCTGCGGATCATTACGTTTCCGGTTTATTAATTTCCTGCTGTACTGCAATAAATGTTGTGCACCTACTTTACTTACCACGGCGTTATTCCACCGTTCGCAACGGAGTTTGCAAACAAGACATTGAATTTGCCTAGAAAAAAAAACGTCTAACGCTCAGGTCGCTGCCCCGGAAGTATAATAAACACCTTTTCAGCGTAAAGGATTCTATTTCCTGTTTTACTCAACCAAAATGGCAAAAAGGGTGATGTCAAACGGACATGTCCTGGATTCCCACACATTGCAGCAACATGATTTGATAAAATACACCCAACATTCAAAACTTTTATCATTTTATGCCACGCAAGATATCAGTCGTACATTATATCAAGTCCTCTATAATAGCAATGAAACAACTGCGCCGCTGGTGTAGTGGTATCATGCAAGATTCCCATTCTTGCGACCCGGGTTCGATTCCCGGGCGGCGCACATTTTTTCCCCCTGCAACACAACAAATGCTATATATAAATAAAACTATAGGTATTTACTTGTAATTTGCTTCGGTCATGCAAGTCACTCCTTTTCATTCATTGTAAAACAATTTTACAATAGAAATCTTGCAAGAACATGTCAAACTTACACCCTATCCTCAAAGGCCCACATGGCACAGGGGTTTTTAAAATGATGCCTGATAGTCCTGTAGAAATTACATTTATGGTTAATTTATTGGAATTATTACATTATTGAAATAGATATGTGTTATATTAATTTGATACAAAATGTTACAAAAGTGTTACTGAACATGCAAATGAAGTAAAGGTGGGAAATAAAAATATTTAACTCCTTGTAACTGAATCTGACACTATTATCATATGCAAATGATTTTACATTAATTATATTCAGAGTTCACCAGTTTCATCTGTATAAATACGCTTTCAGAAAAGATGCTCAAGATAGTTGTAAAGTACACAGTCAGAAAGAAAACCTGTTTATGTTTGGAAATATTTTAAAACTGCTTTTATATAAAACACTGACATGATGAATATTTTGTATTATTGATATTTTGTCTCAGTAAATGTTGTCAAAATATAATTTTAAACTAGGGAAAATCTTAATGGAATGACAGCCTACTTGAATAATTTCTGTTTTCAGGGAATTTGTTTTTGTCATTTTTCACACCTGTACTTACCAGAGCAAGACTTTTTTCACAAGAGAAAAACATCTTGTTCTGGAATTGGTCTCAACAATTGTTAATGGCGTGTTCAGGAAATCACGACCTAATTGATATAATCTCATAGATAGATAGATAGATAGATAGATAGATAGATAGATAGATAGATAGATAGATATTAATCCCTTGGGAGTTCCCTTTGGAAAATTAAGGAATGGCCCATCTTTGGGTCATGACCCACAGTTTGACCCATTAACGGTGTGACAAAGTAGTGACATTGAGATAAGGTCACACTTTGTGTTCTTTGTGAAAGTTTTGGCTTGGTAACTAGGCTACGAGCAGTTTATGGGGCAACAAACCGTCACCACATATGACGTCATCTGTTCCTTTTATCCCTATCTTTTATCACTCACGCTAAACAGTTCTCTGGTTTTATCGAGTCGAAGGTAGTGTAATGGAGGATGCGCCGGAGCGTGCAGTAGCTACAGGAGCGCCCATCTAGGACAGAGGCAGAAAAGCTACGCTGTGCTCGTGACGCACGTGGAAATGAAGTTCATAAAATACAGTAACGAGCTGAAATGCAGACCTGCGTGTGGCGGCAGTGTGTGCGGGATGTGCCCCTTCTGCGTCTTTGCGCCAAAACCTGCAGGTTCTGCCCTGAGCCTGTGGGTGGTCTCGGACGGACACAGGAGGAGGTTCGTGGTGGAGCTGCTGCTGCGCTGCACTAACGTCCTGCTGCTCGAGAGCATCCAGAACATGCTCTGCGCAACATCCTGGACCTTGTTCACCTACGCCAGGTCCAGAGCTCCGGTGCAGAGGCAGGACTGCGACACTCGCCGAGGCCAGCAGGAGGATGCACCCGACCTGGACATGGAGAAGATCTGGGACTGGTTCAGTAAAAATCCAGATTGGATTAAATCCTTCTATCTCTGCCGTCTCTTCTTACTCAGTGACTCGGAACTTTTGCGCATATTCGCCAACCTGACCAACGTCCTCCTGGCCAGAATCAAATGTGGGTTTTTCCTATTGTGCAGTAATTCCAACCCAGGGTTGGTCAAACAGTTTTTTAAAAGGAGTTGAGGGTGTGTTAAAATATGAAATACTTTATTATTTATACCACAATAAAGACTTAACTTTAACTTTAATATAGCTATATGTAATGTATTACATATAGGTTTAGGTTAGAACCAGAACATCTTTTAAGTTCTTTTGTTGCAAATTTTTACACATCAGACACAAACAAAAAAACACTATATTCACACTATATTGTGATGTATTTTGTCCATCAGGTGATTTCTATGCTGAATATGACATCTGTATAATACAATAATCTGCCATTTTCAGCAGGGAGCTCCAGTGCCATTGGACAAAGAGGGGGAAGAGAGGACCCTGCACTCACTGTGGTTCCTGGTTCTTCAGAGTCCTTGTCTGGAGTGAACAAATACAGAGACTTCATTAGCGGCCTGTCTGTTTATCTCTCCAAGAGGATACTGGGTAAAAACAGAATCAGGAACATCTGAGAATCCTTATCCATCTCACTCTATGGTCAACCATCTACTGCATTCCTACATCTATTCCGGGATCTTTCACTTTATCTCCACACATCTCAACCTCATCGTGGTCTCCACCAAACACATTTTCAGCATCTTCAGCTTTGACAACTCCAGCTCAGCTTACTGTCTTCTCCACAATGTTACTGTCAGTTACTGTCTCCAAAGCTGTGTCCTTGTACAAATGGTTCTTATGTGATGTAGTAAGAAATGTCATTGTCATAGTTTTACTTAATAAAGAGTTGCCCAAATGTTCAACACTCCCTAAGTCATGTCAAACCTAGTCTGACTGGACCTTGTTTACACAGGTCTGCTGGATGAACACACGCTGAAATACTGCCAAAAGGTTTGTCGCCGTTGGCAACACATTGCAAAAGAAACCATTGAGGAAAAAAAGTTCAGAAAAAGTTTCCAAGTTCACCTGAAGTCCATGGGAAAGGTAGGAAATGTGTATGAGTTTGTCTGTTTCTGTTCTTCTATTCCAAGGCAAGATCACATAATATATATATATATATATGTGTGTGTGTGTGTGTGTATATATATATATATATATATATATATATAAATATGTATATATATATACGTACATACACATCTTTTTGTTCTAGGTCAGCAAAGGTATTAATGCCAGTCCCACTTACGCCAACTTTGTTGACGTCCTGGTGCCCGCAAACGAGGATGAAGAACCAGATGTTGGTTCCAGTAATCAAAAGGTTCCCTCGATCAATCAACATTCTACCTTTGTTCAGCCAGTTACTTTGAGCATCATTAATGAACATATTGGTTCTGCTCAGGTGATTGCACATAGAACTGCCTATGGCAAAATCAAGACCAAAGTCATACGAATGGAGGAGCGAAATGTTTACTGCGGTGCATATTATCCCAAAGTTCTTGTGAACAAGTAAGTGGTCTCAACATAAAAAAAAAACATTACCTCAGATCAGAGAACTCAGTTGTGGTCTCATGGTTGGCTCTGACAGAGAAGACCCCTATCGGGTGGTGGACTACAGAGGTCAATCCTTTATGGTCACAGCCTCCAAGGACTGCGCTGTGCATCTGTTTCACGTAGCATCAGAAGCAAAGGCGGTGTCAGAGATGAAGGGCCATGTTGGCAGCATCAGGGCTGTGCTGCTGTGTGAGGACAGGGACTTGATAATTACTGCAAGCTGTGATGCCACCATCAGGTGAAAAAATAATAAAATGTATAAAGGAAAGGTTTAAATGTAAGACTTGGATTGGTTTTTAAAAGCTTTCAGAATGAGATACCCAATGTGAACTTCCTGGGAGTACTTGACTGCACCACATGGGGTTGATGTTTGCTTTACTAAATATTTACTGTATTTTCTTTGTTTTGATCAAACCTGTAGGTGCTGGAATTTGAAGACGGACCTGTGTGAGATTGTGCTGTATGGCCACACAGGCAATGTCAACTGTTTGGATATCAATGGTGATACGCTGGTCTCTGGGGCTAAAGACTGTACACTCAGAGGTAGGCTTTTAACATGACGACCTCAGCATCTCAAACTAAATATTACGTTGATTGACATTTACTGTAACTTTTATGGCATGAAAATATAGTAGGACATTATTTTATTTCATGTTTTTCACATTATTTTATCAAATAGACTTGGATAATCTTGGATATGGATCATTTATTCAGCTCAATACAATTATTTTGTCTTAGAAGTGTTTTGCCCATGACACCCAGAAAGAGCTAATGTCATCCTTGATTTTTTTTTTTTGAAAATTTAATTTTGTAATTTAGGATAGGAAATATATTTTTTATCTAAGTCTCTTTTTTATCTTTTTATTTTAGTTTTATGGTTCATTTTAAGTACTTAAAATAGCTACTGTCGTGAATATACAAAACTTTACCTCACTGGTTTCTCAAATGTGAGATTTGAAAATGTGAAATAAACTAAAATCCTGTCTTCAGCGATTTGTGTCAATCTTTTTAACAGGCAGCATTGAACTTTGTGGTATTTGAACTGGCAACCATATTTGTACATGTTAAAAAATGAACTGATTTAGAATGACAGACTTTGGTTTTTATTGTATAACTGTTCTGAAAATGCAGTAAGTCATTCAAACTGCCTCAAACTCTGTGACCTGAACATGTGTTCCTCCTCCACCACCAGCTTGGAATCTGCTAACAAGGAAACGATGTGATGGTTTTAATTTCAAACACCCGAGCTCCATCCAGTGTGTGAAGCTGACCGCCAGTAAACTGTACAGCAGCTGTGACCGAGGCCTTATCAAGATCTGGAACATGGAGACGCCATCGTTGCTGAGGGTGAGACTCTCGTCTGTCTCTGTTTGATCAAACCAACTACAATTCTTAAATTCATCTCACCCCCAGGTGATCGATGGCCACAAGAGTTCAGTCAAGTGTCTGTTCTTCAATGAATGGTATCTTCTCTCTGGGGACTCTAGTGGTCAGGTCATGGTGTGGAGCACCCACTGTCACGTTAAAGACTGTCTAATGACCTACAACCACCCAAAGTAAACATGGATCCACAACTACTGACAAGTGGCCTGTGTGTGACAGAAAATAAAAAAAAAATGTTTTTCTTTCAGAGAGGTCAAAACTCTGGCCCTCATTTACCTGCGTGTTGTCACTGGCTGCGTGGATGGAAAAATTCGTATTTTTAATTTCCTGACTGGCGACTGTTTGAGAGTCATCACCATAGACGACAAGACGGGCCGAATACTGTCCCTGCACTTTCTTGAAAACGGGTAATTCTTGGATGGTTTGGGGTTTTGAAATTGTTCACTTTTAAGAGTTTTATAGGGATCAAATTAAACCTTACACTTACACAAGTAAAACAAAGTTCTAATAATAAACTTGACCAAGCTGTTGAGGACATGTATTCACGTGTTTCAGTTCATAAGATCTGACACCTCATGATATCATAACGTCTGTTTTAGAACTTTTGGTTTTCCCCCTCACATTCCCCTGTCAAGTGTTTTTTTCTGCCCTATTTTAGGATTTTAGTGAACACTATATGTGGTGTGAGACTTTACAAGTTTGCAAAGATATTCTGGGATTACTCAGAGTCATCAGAGGGAGGCCAGAGCAACATGAAACCAGCAGCTCATCTCAAAAAGGTTTTCTACAAAGACCAAACTGAAGGTACGCCCAGCTTTGACATCAAGAAAACAGACATTTCTCCCAGTGGATCACAAGGTAAGAACGCACAGTGTAAGTCAGAGTCGAAGTTCATCAGCCTGCATTTAGTTTGAGTTCCATTTTCTGTATTTCATTTGTAGTCAGAGACATGTGTCAGACTGCTCCATTATTATTGGGGAAGGAGGTGAAAGCAACAAGTGAAGAACTGAATAAGAGGGTTCTTCAAGGCAGCACCAGTCAGAAATCCTGGGACACTGAGGAATTAAGCAACACCAACAGCACTGCACAGATGCAGGACTGGGATCCTCACAGACCTCCAGATTCACCGAATTCTAGCTCCCAAGTACAGGAACCCACTCCTACAAACCCAGTTCAACAGGCGTACAGTGGTCAAACAAAGAAATCCAGGACAGTTTTGGAGAGAAGGGCCAGTCAGAATTTAATAAAGACAGCTGTCACCAATGCTGCTGACACCAAGAAGAGACATCACCAAGGTGTTGTTTCCAAAAAGGCCCAACTTCCTAGTGCTGACACACAAGGGGTGAAGAGCAAAGCTGGTGCTGACACAGCAGGTGCCAAAAAGACAGCCAAGACCTCTTGAGGGAAGGGCAAGAAATCCGAGATCTAAGTCTTAAACACGGCATTAACATGACTGGACTAAATTAGGAAAAAAAACAAACAAACATGAAAAACAAACAGACAAATGTGATGTTGCAATACATCTCCGCTAGAGGGCGGTATTGCTTCAATAATTTAAAAGCCCTGTTTTTCAAAGATGACTAATAGTGTGTATCTGTTGTTTTATAATGTTTTATTTTTTCCAGAATTCCGTCACCTCAGTTTAATTTCCTCTTGGAGGTGAATGAAGGAATTGTTTGATTGTTCTTTATTCTTTGAGTTTAAATTTTACAGGTAAATCCAGTTCATATTAAAATGTAGTTTGAATGTTTAAAAAGCTGTTTAAAGTTTAAAAGAATGTTTAGGGCATGGATTGAGTCTATTTATACATTAAACTATAACCAAAGGAGTTCAAACTATCATATTCTAGTCTCTATATGACCCACAATAAAACTTGCATTATGAACTACAAGACGAGCGTCACGTTTAATTCTTTGTTAGCATCTCCACAGATCTTTTACACAAAGCAAAGTGTTGTTGCCAGCAGTAGCTTAATTGGTGACATTTTCCTATGAAATGGAAAAAGAGCAAAAATTATAATTAACCCTGAAAGTGATTAGTCTTTCCTCATTGATCCATTGATGTGACTAATGTTAATTGGAGTTTGGTGTTTTAATCTGCAGACTGCAGACATTACCATTTAAATCATTTGGTTCGTCCTTTGACTAATATGATTGAGAAGAAAGACAAACGTACTCATCATACAGTGTCTAGACTTAAAGTGAGACACAAAAGCACCCAATAAAAAAAATATTTTTAATTTCTCTTAGTGGCTAATAACTAGTCTTAAAATATACATCAATTAAACAACAAGAAATTATTAGATTATTTTCATGTACCAACTACAAACAAGATCAGTAGTATTAGTATTAGTAGTAGTATTAGTAGTAGTTGTCTTTTTCTCACCATCTGCCCTTTAGCCCTGCTGCCTCCAGGGCATCATTAGGTGCAAGGAGGTTGAAGATCAGGCAGAGAAAGTCTTCTGCTTTGACATCAGCGGCAGTGCAACAGCTGGGCAACTCAGAATAACAAAGGATTATGGGAAGAACTGACTGACGCCCCACTGTGGAGAATGCTCTCAGGAGCAGTGCACTGCTAATTTCCTTTGGTTTGTTGAAAAGTGTGGATAATGCTGCCTCTTGTCATGAGCCACTCCTGTGGCAGTGGGTTAGGGTTCGTTAGGTGAGACTGTACGGTTTGTCTATTGAAATAAATGGGTTTGTTTGGAATTTTCTCTTCGAAAAAGGGATTTAACAGCATTCCCTCTGCCAGTGTTCTCTCAGCCCTGTGGTGATTTTCTTTTCGCCGTGACGTCTTGAGCGCAGCTGCAGAAATTTAGTGCCAGAGTTGAGTTGGATTACGTTTTCTCTCTCTCTCTCTCTCTCTCTCTCCTTTTTAACTTCTTTGTTTGTCTTTTTAAAGAAGGTGCTTTTTAAATTTAAATTAAGATGCTGTTGTTGAAGGGTTGTTGAAGAAGAGACAAACTTTGAATTTTATTGTGTACAACCAAGCAACATTTTAGTCAAAAGTTTGAGTCAAAGAAAGACTGGTTGAGTCTGTGCATTACTGTAAATTCCCATTCAATTCCTATTATACTCTGTGCTTTCTAATAAAAGTAATACACACATTCACTCAGAGTACTTACACTAAGAACTACTAAAACCTCCATAATGTCATACTGCCTTAAATGAAGTGCTGTTGCAAGTAGCAAAAAATATATTTGTCCCCAAGTTATCTGAAGTGAAATGATTGAAGATGAAAATACATCATGACGTCGTTACTGTTGAAAATATAAAGGAGAAACTGGAGCTGACACAGACTGTCCTGTTACTGCTCCTCTTACTGCTTTATCTCCTGTTATCCTGGAGCTGGAGTTAGAGATGGCTTGGACATGTGTGGAGGAGAGATACTGGAGACATTGGACAAAGGATCCTGGAGATGGAGCAGCAAGACAAGAGGAAACAAGGAAGACTACAGAGAAGATTTATGGATGGATTGTTGGTGTAAGAGTAGAAGAGGCAGGGGAGAGGGCCGAGATGGAGGTGGATGATTCACCATGGCGACCCCTGAAGGGAGCAGCTGAAAGAAGAAGACAGACGGCCAAATCTTGTTATTTGAGAAAAGAAATGCTGGAGAAAACATTCCATTAAAAACCTACCCTTTTTTTCAGAAAATATGACAAAAAACTGAGCTTCATCAAAGAGTTTATTTAGACTGAACATCTTAGAATAAAGAAAACATCCAAGTCCTCGCAGAAGAAGGGTTGGTCGAGCGGGAGGAAGAAGAAGTTTATTTATGCATGAGAGGGAGGCTTGAAAGAAATGACAGTCAGCCTCCTTCATGGTGACAGGGGGTTGTGAAGAGGTGACAAAAAGATGATTCTGTGTGACCCTGCTGACCCCTAGAACTACACAGATCTGAGCCTCTTCAAAGGTGTGTATTTGCATCACAGTCTTTTTGTCAAGTTCATTTTTTCATTTTCTGTCATGCTGTGTCAGTAGCAGCCGTGAACTCCTAAGCTGGTCTATAGCAGCACCAGGCCAGGTCAGTCTGAGCCAGTCATGGAGCAGAATGGGATTAACCACATCTTGATCTGCGTCGTTGTTATTAGTTTGTTTTATTTGCATGTCACTCAGACAGGCAGCTGAATAGCCCTGGAGCTGTTCAGATATCACACGTCAGAGGCGAAGGCTAAGGGAATATGCAAATGGGACAATTCTCAGGGGGCAGCTGAGTCATGACACGAGCACTGACTACATTTGGCCATGGCTGAAAACAAACTCTGGGCAGCAGGAACGGAGAGCTGGTAATGAACCACGTCAATGTCTGAGTGATGAGTGACGTGGTACGGCTCCTTTGTTCTAGGAACAGCTTTCAACTCCAAACACCAAAACATTGAAACCTTTTTCATGGCTGTGAGACTGGAATGACTCCCTGACCTCATTCTCCAGATAGAGATCAGAAACGCTGGCGAACGCAGCCACAACGAACAGAGAGGCAATTAACAGAAACACTATTACTGATACACTGGGCTGATTAACAATCATGTCCAGCCAAGCAAAATAGATAAGAGGGATTCTGATTGCTCATTGATTGGATGGCAGTAGTGCATTAGCTGCTTCTTGGTTCTTGGAGTTGGACCTTTGTTGCGTTCAAGGGCCCTTGATTGAGCCAGAATGTGGGGTGAAACCACTGTGACCACATTTTGGGAGGACAATCAGAGACACTGATGCTGGTCTCTGGCTCCCTGGGTAAGAGACCGAGCCCTGAACAGATGACTGGGGGAAAAATGTGTTTCTGACACGCCAGAAAAAGCACAGATATGAGCCTTAAAAGTGACACTGACATGAGCTAGAGTCGATGAAGGAGATACACAGACTGCTTTGATTTTGTTTGCGTTTCTTTTATCAACTTCAAACTATTTCTTTGCGCTTATGAGTTGACTGATTGTACATGCTGAAGCCATCTGTTCTTACAGCATCACATCTGGAATGTGTTTTGAAAATTGCAAAACAATATCTTTTCATCTTCCAAACCTGTTCCGTACTAAGGACTCACACACACATACACACACCAATAAATACTATTAAACACAGCAGTGCTTAACACCAGGGGCTGTAGCTTTTATGCTTCTGTGGAATTATTCATAGACCTATTCACCACTAGGTGGCCCACTATCACTGCGTACGGATTGGAACGTTCCGACTATTACTAAGTGATTGTGCAGATTCATCCTTACTGTTTATTTTTGACCAGTGTCTTTGTGTGTTTTTGTTCAAATTAGTTCCTAAGCATGGCAATTACTTATAAATAACCTTGTAATTACTTCAAATCGCCTTCGAATTACACTCAATAGTCCTTTATGTCGATGTAATAAGATGCCAATTAAAGAAATACAAGCCAATCTAAAATTTGACAGGCTTCTAAATCCTTTCTAATGTTTTCTCTCTAGGGTTTTAGGGGGAAAACAATGAGAATGTGTTTCAGGGTGTCATTATTAAAGGTGTCATGTGACCATTGACCATTGGTCTAAATGGATCACAGTCTTCATACAGCAGCTCCAGACACACGCAGGCGACACTGGTAAGTGTCATAATTTCACTGTTTTCTTAGAGTCGGAGGTCAACTGCATAAAACTTCGGTTTAATGCAGGTCAATAGGCTCACATCGCCTGTGGGTGGGGCTAGAGGAGGGGGCAGCGCCTTTGGAACAAGTAGGCAATTCACAGAAGAAAAGTCATGGCACACTGACTGGACTTCCTGCCACAAATTAAACAGAAAATTAATTGTGATGGCAAGAACAAATGTTCATGATCAATGATCATCCTCCACAGACGTGGAACAAAACAAGTCAATAGTCTCTTGACCTACATCATGGAGAGTGTAGATTGGTATTTTATGGGACACTTTGTACAATAGCTGAAAATAAAGTAAGAAAATCACAGCATTTGCTGGATAACTGATCAACGAGGATGTCCAACGAAGTAATAAAAGTACAAATGTCCAAATAGAAAGGAGTACAAACAGTTCACTTATTGGCACTTGTGTGGTGCAACAGTCCCCGTCACATACAGTAAGTCAAGACTAGCGTCCATAACAAATCTTTTCTATTTCCAGCTCCAGAGAGTTGAGGGAAGAGTTCAGGACAGCTAATGGATGCCTTTATCTGAGCTGTCCTCGACGTTTGACTCATGCACTTAATCACTGTCTGACAAACAATTAGCTGCTCGCTCATGTCGAGCACAGATGTTTGTGCTCCACTCAGTTGTGATAGCAGCAGCAGGCCCCTGGCTGCTCACAGAGGTCAGAGGGCCTGATAAGCAAGAGCGCTCACAGTTTGTGGTAAAAATACCAACACATGGACGAACCACTTTCTTCTTCTAACTTTAGGGATGGCTTAACTTCTGGACTGTAACCATCAAATGGGTGCTTTCCCACCGTATGACATGACATCGCTGGAGAATGAGTGGAAATGATGATAAATGTCAGGGTTTCCCCTAAATCACTGGTCTGGAAACTGAAATTTAATCTAATCATTTTACTAGCAGATATGATTCAAGAGAGACGCGAAAACATTTTAACTATTTAATTGACGGCAGCAGTGCAGAGTATGAAGTCTAAGTAATAGTACTCAGTATTTAGTATGACAAACTC